CCGCCTCTCCCCGCAACCGAGGGACCCGCGGGGCAGCCTCCAGCCCGCTTCCCCTCCCTTCCCCCTCCGCTTCCCGTGCTTTTTCTCCGCGCGAGGCCGCACTTTGCAAGCAGCGAACAGTACAGACGGTCACAGGAGCAACTTTGGGTTGGGGTTTTTTGCGGGGAGGAGGAGAAGAATCGGCGTTTCCTTAACTCAGGTGTGGGGATGATGGGGGCAATTTTTTAAAAACAATTCTAAAAATTTGAGGTTTTTCAAAGGAAAAGGTGTGTCAGAAGTGGGATTTGAACCCACGCCTCCATTCGGAGACCAGAAAACCCCGGGGCAGGGAAAGCAGAGCCTTGAGTCTGGCGCCTTAGACCACTCGGCCATCCTGACACTGTCAAACACTTCCCTTGCCCTCCTCATCCTCAACGATTAATCCTTCCGCATCCTGAGCTTTCCTATCTCTTTTATAATGCTCCAAATTTGCAGCAAGTTGATGGGGTTGGGTTTTTTTTTGCACTGGGAAACCCCTCTTCTGCATTTTTTTCTGCTCCCGTTTCTATCGCTCCATCCCTGGTCCACGCAGCCTCCATTGCCCACTCAGGATAAACAAGGATTTGCTTTTTTTTAGAGCCAGACCAGCCCGATTTAGACTGAAACATGCCATGGTGCTGGCTGAAATTTGGTCATCATCTCTAAAAAGAAAAATTAAGAGGAAGACGGAAAAAAAGTGGCACGCTCACATGCTTGTGGTGCTAGTTACGTTGTTTCTGGCTCTTTCTGGCAAGGAAATGCAGAAGGAAAGGTGGGCTTGGAGAAAACTTTTGGGGACTTTCATTGGGGTTAAAAGTCAAAAAAAAAAAAAAAAGAAAGAGGATTTTTTTTTGGTGTAATTCCATGCTTTTCAGGCCAAAAAAATTTCTTTATGCAAATTCTGGATGAGGAAGAGCTGCCTCATAAAGGCTTTGTCGCAGCTGGCCAATCCTGGGCTGCGTTGTTGATCCCTCATTTGGATACCTCCATCTCTATAAGAGCCCTGGTGGGACACCTTTGCAGGGAGGAGCGCTGAGCCTGAAGGAGACCCCATGGCTGCAGCCACCAAGAGAAGAGGAAAAACCCCGAGGAGGAGGAAGAGGAAGCAGAAAGTCCAGTGGACGAAACCTCTGCTTAAGTGGAAAACGTCTCCGGCTCAGGCAGGGCGATGGAAACCAGCTCCGAAGGGATCAAACGGATCGTTCAGGAAGGGATCCTACAGCAGGGACATCTCCAGGCTGCTGAGCCAGCTGCCATTGCTGACCAGGCGCATGTCAGTGAAGGCGAAGAGGCTGATGAACATCTCCATGGGCATCCTTTGCAAGGCGGTGGTCACCGAGGCGGATTGCCGGAGGAGGCAACGCCGAGGGTCCTTCATCGGTACCTTGGAGTTGCAGGCTGCTGTGGATAGGGTTATAAAAGGTGAAGATGGAGCGTGTTTTTCCTCCCCCATCCCCAGCAGATCTTCTTGCATGAACTGAATAACAAGGGCCTGTCCTCTCACCCTGCATATCTTTCCTTGTCTCCCTCATTACATGCCTGGGAGAAGAAGAAAAAAGGAGGAAGAAAGAATAAACTCCGAGTCTTTCTCACCTGCCTGATTCAAAATCATTCCTGTAAAGGCAACCACCAAACCTGGCATCCCACCAGTACCCCAACACCCACGTGCCCATGCAGGAGGTAATTTGGAGGGTAGCTCCTGGATGGGAGC